ACACACACAAACACACACAAACACACACAAACACACACAAACACACACAAACACACACACAAACACACACAAACACACACAAACAAACACACACAAACACACACACACACAAACACACACACAAACACACACACAAACACACACACACATACAAACACACACAAACACACACACAAACACACACACAAACACACACAAACACACACAAACACACACAAACACACACACAAACACACACACACAAACACACACACACATAAACAGGCGCATATCCCAGGATTCCCCCATGTGCTCCTAGATTTTCGGGGTTTTCGTCTTCCCCCCACCTCCTACGTATGTTTTCAACTATTTTTCCCCAGGAGTCGACGCTTCATGGTGTCTGCGTGCTCCTTCCCCTCTTGACCCTGGCCAGGCGGCCGAGCGGGCGTGTTCACCGAGCGCGGACCCCAGGTCGGGCCTGGTCGGGGGTTGGCCTGCTGCGCGGCGCGCCGCACGTGCGGGGACACGAGTGGGGGGATGGCGGCGCGGGCGATTCGCCCGATGCGGCAGGCTCGTGTCGTGCCGACTGCGGCGCCGGCTCCTGACACCGCGGGGATCGTTCGCCCCTGATCGATCGGCCGTGAACCGAAGCGTCAGATCGTTCAACATCGACCGATTCACGCCAGATCGTTCAACACCGACCGACTCTGGGTCGCAGGCGGCGCTCCACGTTGAGCACGGGCGGCGGGGTCGCCGCCGGCCGAGACGACGCGAACCGACCGGAGGCAACACGCAACACGTATTTAGCTCATTGATGCAGAGCTCGGCACGCAGACTGAGAGCGCGGGTACGAGACGATACGTTCGCCAAAACGTGGGCCCAAGACGCTGCGCCGACGCGCAGCGTGTGGACGCCGACGATTGAAGCACGGCGCGCAGTTGCGTTTCAGCACGGGCGTCTCGGGGCAGCCAAGAGCCCCAGAGGGCAGCCCCCATGTGTAGCCCCCCAACACACCAGGCCCTCCATGCATCCTCCGCTCGCAGGGAAAAGGGAAGACCGTTCCGTTCGGGCATCCTCAGGCTGAAATGTGCAGATCTCGTTGCCTCCTCCGTGCTTGGTCAGGGCGATTCTGTGCCCTGGCATGCTGTATACGACCTCCAGGCCGAAGCCAGGAGGTCTACACACCAGCATGCGGCCCAGGATGGCATTGCCTAGGCATGGCGGTAGCGGCTGTCGCGCACAGATCCCTTCTGCGGATGCAGGGTGCAACGTTGTGGACAACCTGCTCCCAAACGATCGATTCCTTTTACATTGTCACTCGTCGCAGGCGCGCGTATCGTGTGATCCTCATGCTCGGGTGTCCCAGGCCCCCAGCTGGGCCTGTCCTGGGGTGCCCCTCTGGACGACATCCGGAGGGAGTCCAGCCGTGGCGACGAAGAGCCCCACGGATGCCGAACCGAGATGTGTACACATAGATGTACACATATATAGGTGTATGCATACGTATTATGCATACGTATATCGCTCGTACATCCGAGGCCTACGCGGGCACTCTAGTTAACTCCACGAGAGCCACTGCTGCTCGTCGAACTTCGTATAGATGACCAGCCCACTCCTCTTGCTGGAGCGACGGCGGATGCGAGACACGTGCAGTGTTGTACATGTGGAACGCCATGACAATGGCCTCCACGGCCTCGAGAGTCGGGGCTCCATTGAGCCCGATCCTGGCCAGAATACAAGACGGGGTGTATGCATACGTATATATATATACAGAGAGAGACATGTGCGTGCGCAGATAATATATACATACATGCATGCATACATCCATACACACAAAAATTCATTCATTCATTCATTCATTCATTCATTCATTCATTCATTCATTCATTCATTCATACACACACATACATACATACGTACATATATACAGGCAGATATGCATGCATACATTTAGGGGAGAGAGAGAGAGAGAGAGAGAGATAACCAAATCAACGAAGAGAGAGAGAGAGAGAGAGGAATCCACAAAGACTGTATGTCTATATAGAGATAACAAACAGCGAGCGAGGGAGGAACCACACACGCACACACACAGGCAAACATGAATGCGCCATGAGCAGCGGGCGCCCACGGTGTGCCCGTGGCCTCCGGGCCGCCTGCCGCTCTGGCGCTGCTTCTGCGTGCAGACGCCGGTGCGTTCCACGGCGGCAGCATCGCCAACAGTCGATCGAGCCGACACCGAAACCGACACCGACCGACACCGACGGGCCGCGAGGAACTCCTGGAAGAGCGCAGCGACGCAGCGGCACAACCAACCGACCGAGACCAAGCCCAGCCGAACGCAACCGACCACGACGCAGGCGATGTGACCGAGCGGCAGACGCCCTTGGGTGATTAGGGCCCCCTGCTCGCCCTTGACGTCGCCGGCTGCCCAGACATGGAAACTCGCTGGCCCAGCTCGTTCTCGCACTGCTCGTAAATTCCCTGGAGCGTCGATAGCCTCATGTACTACTACGGTCGGGAACTTTTGGATCGCGTGCAGCCACGGCCGCCCCGGCGACACGCTCCCCCCTGCGAGCGGATAGCGTGCTGCAGCGAAGCCCAACTTTGGGCCCTGACCTGCCTCTCTTTTTTAGTCCACGAGGAGGGCTCGAGGGACAGCCATGGAAGCACCCGAGGAACATCCAACCCCTTTCGCCCCCAAATAGTTCCTCATGTCAGCGTCTTGACGGGGAAACCAATCTGAGCAACGTCGGTGTTTACTCGAAGGGGGGGGGTCCCGGAAGGGGGTCCCAAGGGGGGTCCCGGGTCAGAATACCACCCTCCCGGGGCCCATGGCCCGCCCTCTCCCTCCCATTTCCGTCGAGGGCCGAGGCCTCCAGGGCCGGCGGCACCGGCCGTAAGGCCTTCGCAATGGTTCCTCATGCCAGCGCCTTGGCTGTGGTGCGACACCCCGACGCAAACGTCCCCCCCTGGCCCTCGCCATCGCTCGGACGTCCAGTTCCCGTGCACTTGTCGGTTTCGTGCGTGTTCTTTTGCTCGATGGTCCAGGGTGGTCCTCGATGGCGGAGGAGGAGGAGGAGGAGGAGGAGGAGGAGGAGGAGGAGGAGGAGGAGGAGGAGGAGGAGGAGGAGAGGAGGAGGAGGGGAGGGGGGAGGAGGAGGAGGAGGAGGAGGAGGAGGAGGAGAAAGGGAGGAGGAGGAGGAGGAGGATCTCGCCGAGAAAAAAGTGCACACGTCTGAGCGATGCCGAGGGCCCCGGGGGAGCGGCACGGGGGCGGCAGGCAGGCGGCGCCCGCGCGGGGCGCCTCCCCGGCGGCGGCCACCGGCTCGTAGCCGCCCAGCATGGCGTGCAGGCTCGCGGCCTCGGCCGCGACCTGGGGCGGGGCGCCGGCGACGACCACCACGACGACGACGACGATTTCGACGACGACGATTTCGACGACGACGACGCCGACGACGACGACGACGACGACGACGACGACGACGATGACGACGACGACGACGACGACGACGATGTCGACGACGACGACGACGACAAGGACCTCGGCGGATCGAGGGCGACGGCGAAGGCGCCGAGCCCTCGCCTTCGCCTCGCTGCCCTCCGCCTGCGCCCCGTTCGCTGTCCCTGGGCTGCGCCTCCTCCTGTCCCTGCCCGCCCTCGGCCTTTCCATCGCCATCTTCTCCCTCCCCCTTCGCGTCCCGCTCCTTGAAGTCCTCTCCTTTCCTTGAAGTCCTCTCCAACCTTCGCCTCACTCCTCCTCCTCCCCCTCATCCTCCTCTTCCTCCTCCTCCTCCTACTCCTCCTTCCGACCTCCTCCTCCTCCTCTCCTCCCCCCTCCTCCTCCTCCTCCCCTCCTCCTCCTCCTCCTCCTCCTCCGACCTCCTACTCCTCCGACCTCCTCCTCCTCCGCTTACTCCCCCTCCTCCTCCTCCTCCTCCTCCTCCTCCTCCTCCTCCTCCCCTCTGTTCCTTTCCTCCTCCTCTTGTTCCCCCTCTTGTTCCTCCTACCCCCCTTCGTCTTTCTCATGATTTCTTCCCCGTCGCACGACCAAGCGTGTCAGTAGCGGTCAAATCGAAATTTTCCGAGCATGGCCTTTGGGCTGCACTGGGCGTCCTGTGCCCCGAAAAAGCGACTACACCGAAATCCGTCCAACGACAGAAAGCAAATCAATCCATGTTGCTGAAGAAAACGTTTCGGGGTCCGCTTGGGCCTTTCTTGGGCTGACAAGGGAACTTGTTTCGGGCCGCCTGGTGTCCAGATTGGGCTCCGCGGGCCTCCAGGGCTGATCGGAAGATTCCGTCCACGTCCACCAGCGTGTTCGATGTGTGATCGCTGTCGCCTGTACCCTTCCTTTGGGTTGCTTGCTGATGTGTGCTGGCTGCTGCCTACGATCCTTTGGCCCGCTTGGACCAGTGTGTCGCTTGGTCGTTGCTTGTTTGCTTGCGAATCGCTGTTGCCCGTTGCTGCGTGCTGCGTGTTGCTGCTGATGTTTGTTGTCTTTTCTGTTGCGTGTGGTTTGTGCACGTCCGTAAGTCCCAAAAGCGGCAGTTTGCAGATTCAGTGTGGTGCAACCGTGTGCAACGCGTCGCCTTTTGTTGGGATTTGTTGGGGAGATGCGTGAGGATTTAATGTCGCCTCCCACGCCTCCCACGACAATCTCAAACATGCGGCCTCCCACGCCTCCCACGCCTCCCATGCGGCGCGGGCGGGCGGGAATCGGAAAAATGACGGGGCGGGGGAGAAACGAGAAGAACAGCAAGAGAGAGCGAGAGAGAGGGAACAAACCAGAGAACAAAAGAAAGACAGAGAGGGACAGATAGAGAGAGAGGGAGATCCGCCGGCCCCCTTGTGGGGCCACCAGGCTGTAGGCGCGGGTTCGCAGTTTCCTGTACCAATTGTAGCTTGTAGCTTCCAGTGTTACAGTTCTGCTTCTTGCTGGTTACTGTAACTAGTTGACTTCTTGCTGGTTACTGTAACTAGTTGATTGACCGCGCGAGGGGGGGGGAGGCCCAAACAAGACTTTTAGCGTCCCCTGGGCGCGTTGTCTGAATTGCTGGGGGGGCTCGAAATCGACACCCCTCACGCAGATCCGCGGGGTCAGGGTCCAAAAACACAGGGATTTGCCACATTTCTGAAAGTCGGTGCCACCCCTCACGCAGATCCGCGGGGTCAGGGTCCAAAAACACATGGGATTTGCCACATTTCTGAAATTCGGTGCCACCCCTCACGCAGATCCGCGGGGTCAGGGTCCAAAAACACATGGGATTTGCCACATTTCTGAAATTCGGTGCCACCCCTCGCACAGATCCGCGGGGTCAGGGTCTCAAAACACAAGGGATTCGCCACATTTCTAAAATTCAGCGCCACCCCTCACGCAGATTCGCGGGGACAGGGTCCAAAAACACATGGGATGTGCCACATTTCTCAAAATTCGGTGCCACCCCTCACGCAGATCCGCGGGGTCAGGGTCCCAAAACACATGGGATTTGCCACATTCCTGAAATTCGGTGCCACCCCTCACGCAGATCCGCGGGGTCAGGGTCCCAAAACACATGGGATTTGCCACATTTCTGAAATTCGGTGCCACCCCTCACGCAGATCCGCGGGGTCAGGGTCCCAAAACACATGGGATTTGCCACATTTCTGAAATTCGGTGCCAGCCCTCACGCACATCCATCGCAAGGCGTGGTAACCCAATCTGCGAGTACTCCCTCGGCCCTTTAATCCCAAGGTGGTAACCAAGCTCGTAAACCATACACGTCTTACCAATCGCCCTGTGTGGTAACCCCTCTTGTGATCAGTTGGTTTTGCCGATTGCGAATCGGCCTCGCATGAAGTTCCGATACTGCTGCACGACAGCGCCAAAGCCTCATGACTTAGCTCTTCCATGGCCCATTCTCCGAGAGACGGGGCCGGCGGCAGGGGGCGAAGCCCTTACGGATAACGAGAGAGAGAGAGAGAGAGAGAGAGAGAGAGAGAGAGAAAAGAGAAATAGAGGAACACACTCAGTTGGGGAGCTATGTATATACGCCGAAAAGGGGGAGCGCACTGAACCGAGATACAGTTCAGGGCGCGCGCATAAAAAGAAAAAGGGAAGAGAAAGAGAGAACGAGGGACTGATATATATATATATATATATATATATGTATGTGAAAAGAGAGAGAGAGAGAGAGAGAGAGAGAGAGAGAGAGACAAACTGAGATATAACGATATATACAAACGACACAAAGAAAACCAAACTGTGGGCAGTAGAGAAACAGAAAAGAGAGATAGACGGACACATGGCAATAATGAGAGTGGGGCTGAAGAGAGAGAATAAGAGAGAGAGAGAGAGAGAGAGAGAGAGAGAGAGAGAGAGAGACAGAGAGAGGGCACAAAGGCAGGACGCGCGCGCGTGCCTCTCCATGTATGTGCGCATTCACAGAACAGAATTGAAAGATACACAAAAGGAGCTAGAAGGGGCGCGCAGATGAAATGACAGAGGAAAAGAGAGAGCGAGAGAGAGAGAGAGAGCGAGAGACAGAGAGGGAGAGAGAGGGGTAACAACAACATATAACAACGAGAACAACAAAAGACCGAGTGCCTGGACGGGGGACAAGTACATGTACGTGCAAATTCGTACATGCATGCGTATGCACATATCTTGTTTAAAGATACGAGTATATTTACATATATTACACATATATACACATAAGCGGCACGGGCCCCAAGAGGGAGGCGTCAGTTCTCTGCTCTGATTTTCGCACCTTCCGCGGGGGAGGCCATGCAAAGCCACGAATTCGTGAACCTCTACTTGCGGGCACTTCGCGATCCACGTAGAGTCGCGATCCGCCCCCGCAAGCAAAATCCACAATCACTGGTGCTCTTCGAAGAGCGCAGGTCGCCGGACATGCTGCGGAGGAACAGCTCGAGGTGTGCGAGCTCGCTCTCGACGTCGGTCGCGTGGGCGGCAGTGACTGGATTGCGGAAACCTTTGTCGTGGTCCACGTTGCCCCTCGCCCTCAAGTCCGCCTTCCTCGCGACCGCTTCCGCGGCCCGCCACTTGTCCGCCACGATGGCGCCCCCCTTCACCCCGCGCTCCCGCGACGCTGACGTCGGCGACTTCGCCCCCCAAGGCTCGCCGCCAGCTGCATCTTCAGCCCTGGGGGGCAGGCCCATGGAGATGCGCTCGCCCCCTGGTTTGTGCAACTTCTTGCCCGTCGGCTTCGACCCGCGCTCCGCCGCCGTCCAGGGCCATCTCGACGTGCGATTGTCGTCCTGGGTGCCCGCTATATTCTTGCAGTGCCGAGTGGGGTTATGCTGCGCACTCTCCTTCTCGCTTTTCTTCCTGCACGTCTTCGCCGAGGTCCTGCTCGAGCACATCTTCATAACGCTTTTCCGCAGGGTCCTGTTTGGCGTCGCTTTCTTCAGAGGGGGGCATTTCGCCTGTTGCTGCCAGTGGTACAGGTCTTCAGCTGAAAATCGATGGGCTCGTTAATCTTGGATTCGTCGCGGCAGATGGCGGTCCCGTCCACCGCGACCGCCTCCGCAAGTCGCCGGCCGTCGTGCCGTCTATTTCTGCGACGTCGCGTTGCAAAGCGTACTTGTAGGTCGTCCATCACGGACCAAGCGCTTTATTGATCACCCCGCAGGCCCCATCTCGACGCATAGCCATGTTCTTCATGCGATAATCCTTGTTCACAGGAGCGGCGGAAGCAACAGTGGGACGTGGCTGTTCGCCCGCAGGAATGCGAGGACACTCGTCGCCACGCGGCCTCACTCCAGCATCACTTCCCTTTGCAAGAGGTGCACGTCCACGCGAACCTCCACGAGTCGCCGCGGAGCTCCTGGTACAGGACCGCCTCGCCGCGACATTCTGGGTACCTCTGGTGCCACTGGGAAGCCGCGTGATCGACGAAAACGAAGATGGCGCGAAGCGCCAGACATTCGCGGCACTTCTTCGCGACCTCGACCTCTTTCTTAGTCGGGAGCTCGCTGTAGCGGAGGAGGTACAGGAACGAAGAAAAAAGGGAGAAAACGTTATCCGAAGTGTTCTCGCGGAACTTCCTGAAATCCATGGCCGCGGCGGCGCGGTCGGCCCGAACCGTTGCAAACGCAACATCCGCGCGACGGTTTGAGCCAACGAAAATATAACGAATGCCGGCACCGAGAGGAGAAACCAAACTTCCGCAGATTTTCGGCCTGCCACCAGTTCTGCGTGCATTCGTTCAAGTGCGACGCAAGTGGCCAAGACCATCGACGACGACGGCGAGCATCTCTAACGCGTGCAAGCGGGCGAGAAAGTACTGGACTGCTTTTACTGGCCTGCGCCCCTGGATCGAATGACCCGCTGGATCCTGACGGCTGTTCACAACAGCGGGCCGCGAGGCAGGG